AAAAAAAAAACAGGAGGACATGATGATATTTACTATTTTTACACACCAGAGGCGTTTAAATGAATTGTGAATCTAAAATATGCGTGTTAGAGAATGTACAAATGGTTAACATTGTTTGTCAGTCAGAAGTTCTGGGCTTTTTTTTTTTTTTTAAGCTAACTTAGTTGTTATTCTTGGCTGAATAGCTCTAGGTTTTCAAAAGCCCTTTAAAATTAAATATGAAATTAAATATTTTGGATTAAATGAAAGTAGTCAAATTTTTTAATTAGCATGGTTTTGTGTTTTGCTTTGGTACCGAAATTGGTACCGAGAACCATGGATTTTCACTGGTATTGGTACCGAATACTGAAATTTTGGTACCGTGACAACACTAGTTGGGTCTGTATTTTATTTCTGGTATTTCTAGTGTCAGTCTTGTATCAGGTTTAGTATCTTGCTTACCTGTAATTTTCTGCTTTTCTGTTTTTTTTTCTGTGTCAGTGGTTATTTCAGATGCATTTATCACCAAATGCCCATAAACATCTCTCTTCTATTGATTTTATTGTAGTTGAATAATGTAGAATACCAGAGTAGTTGACAGCTAGAGGGCCCTCTAAACACACACTGGTACACATGCACACACAAACAGTACTTTAACATACCAGTTTCAATTCTTTTGTAGAATCAAGATCATTTCTAAAACTATAAACTCTTAACATGATTCTGTTTTTTTTTTTTTTTTGCAGATATTTCAAGGATATCATATTATGCTGGTAAGACAACCTCCTATACTCTCTCTCTCTTTCTCTCTGAAATGGATTTCAAATTGATCGGGGGAAATGTCAACCTAACCTTTATCCACCAGTTACTGAATGTGAATTGGGTAGAGCATGTTCTCCTGTATAAAGCAGATCAGTACACTCTGTTCCAAAGCCTGTCAGCCTTCTTTGGGCTGCCCATGACAATGGAGCTGAATTTTAATTCCTCCCATAACCAGCTTTTCTCATTTGATGTATTATTCATTTATGTAAAAAAGCTTTTTAATGCTGTAAGAGTTTGAGTTTGGGTTATAGCTGTAATTTTAGGTGATTTTTCTTCTTCTCAGTTTAGTGGTGTTGTGGACGTTGTTCAAATCTATATGTGTAGTTTACTGGTGCATCCTCAATTCATTCAGTGTTTTCTGAGGAACTGCAACATTGTCCAATCACATTCACAATGCCCAACCAATCAGCTGATGTTTCATATTTTTAACCTTGATTTTTTTCCCATAGCCAAGGGCATTACTGTTGGAGGGAAGGAGGGCATGTTTAGACAGTAGGGTTCCTGTGTGTCTGTATGGCATCTATGGAGACCATTATTAAGCACAAAATGGGGCCTGTTAGCTGATATTTGAGAATGCGGTTAGTATATCAGGAAGTGACCTGTTTGCCCTCCCTATAGGGAATGAGTGCTTGGAATGGTAATGAATATCTCTGGCAAACATGGCAAGGTGAAACTGTTAAATAACAGCAAATCATTTTATGCATTATGCTTTGCAATCAGAAGTAAGTTATGACTCCGATTAAGCACAAAATAATGCACTAATCTGCTGGTATTGAGAACTGTGAGAACAGTTCTTAATGTATTAAGTTTGTTGACCTTTGTGTTGTGTATCACTGTACTTATCCAAAAAAAAAGAAAAGAAAACGAAAGAAAGACATTTATTGAATTATATAATTAAAAGTTGTAAACCAATTATTAGGCAATGGAATGAAACAAAACTGAAGAAAGACGAAAAAGAGAAGCTGCTGTCTTTTTTAAATTGTATTTTAATGCAAAATTTACTGATTATTATTTTTTTAAAGTATCATTTTAAATATTATGTAAACCATTTTTTAAACAGTTATAAAATAAGCTAAATTTTTATGTAGGTACACTACTCTCTTCAAATTCTAATTGATACTAATTGATACAATCTCACTTGCTCTTTGTCAGACTCTATTTCTGCTTTATATTTCAACCTTTTTTTTTACTTTAATATATACAAATTGAAATGTCATTACAGACAGAATTATAGTAAATATCTAATGTAATTTCCCATAAATGTAGTAAACCAGACAGAACAAGGACTTAACTGTAGTTATTAAGCTGGAATGGCATGTTTGGGATTACACACAAATGCTGAAATATTTCTTCAGTGCATTGCCAAAGTACCTTATAGATCATGGATTTCTTCATGTTCATCAGCATAAAGAAGTATGCAGGTTATACAAATCGCAAAGGCTGCACTCATTTGCTAAATAAACTGTTGCTTCATTTGCAGTATGTTTCATAATTTATTTATGTGCATCTCTGCAAGTATGGGCTGTTGTCAAAAACAGGAAACCGACTTCCTTCCTTGAGCCTTTGTCAGGTAGCTGAAGGACATTCCTTCAGTCCCTCTACACATGAATCTCCACGAGCAGCCCACAGCTGTCCACAGATACCCTCTTTCTACCATCATTCATAAGGTGATTAGGGGTTTTTAGAAATGATAATGCTTTGTATTTAAATATGAAACACAATCCTGAGAATGTAAACAGAATCCGGACCGCCCAGCTGAATAATTCTGGTCAAACACACACCCAGAAAAACCTGATCGGCCGCTTCTTTTGGCTCTGTGGTCTGTGTTTTGTAAACACGAGCTGGTCAGCCAATAGCAGTTGGATTCACAGAACTCATTAGCATATTTAAAGAGGCCCCTCCTCTTATTTCAGTTGGCCTGATTCTTTCTCTCTTTCACATCCCTCCTTCGTACGCACACTTTCTCTCCTGACACACTCTGCCGGATTGTGAAAATTACACAGGCCGTCACCGCAGCGTCTCTCTTAATCTGGATGAACTTCAGAAAGGCAGCTAAAAGGAAGCGTTTTAGCATGTGAGGATTATTCTTGTCGACATTTCTGCTTTTGTTTCAGCTTCGCCTGCTGCATCCATTCTTTGGATTACTCCGGACAGCTGTGGGATTTCCCTGTCACTTCTGGATCTTTTTCCTCTGCTCTTGCTGGTGGTTTTCAAAAGGCGCTTCTGAGGGAAACGAGACCGGCACGCCTTGCGTTTTCGCATATCCATCTGCCATCCTCATTCCCGTAACCACACGTCCTTCATGTTTTCACACTCCTGGATTAGAGCTTCGGTAAGCTGACCAGTCACCTTCCTGCAACCTCACACCACACCTCGTCCCAGGCCTCTGAGGGCCATCCCAGGTGGCCTGGTCACAGTGCGTTGCGGTGGGCCAGGGTCACCCCCTGCTCCCTATGACTGTGCCAGGGAGTCGGAGAGCCGCTGGGCCTGGGAGAGAGACGAAAGCGGAGGCCAGCGGATGGAGAGCAGCGGCTGCAGTCCCTTCCCTCTGTGCTGGGCACGAGGAGCCTGCGTCTACTCCTACCCTCCCCCTCTGCCAAGTATGTCACCCAGATACAGCACTGAAGCAACCCGCTTCCAGAAAACCTCCACGATACTGTTTCACACTCTCTCTGTCTTACAGGATGTGGTGTATTGATTTAAAGGTGGTTTAGGAGAAATGAAAGGTGCTCCGATAGGAGCTCTGATATGACTTCTCAGTGGTTTTCGTCTCTAGTTTCCGGTACAGTCCTTTATGGTGGTTTTGAATCGAGTGTTAGTTTAATATCTCGGAAGATGACTGCTAGCACATTATCTATATTACTAGGGCTGTGGTGTTACAATGCTACGTTCTTCACAATATTGCATCAGTACCTCAGGTCTTTCTATCAGAAGTTTTTTTTTTAGCCCCCCCAGTCAGTTTCTTTCATAAACATCTCTCATGTTTGGTGAAGCATTCTAATGGTCAGGTCCCATTTGACCTGATTATTAATTTGTATTTTAATCACTGTGCTGTATCATACCACCATATAGAAAATATTAATATACCATATGGATTATACTACCATTTAAAATTTTTGGGGTCAGTGAGATTTTTAAAATATTTGTTTATTTATTTATAATTATAAAATATATATTTCTTATATGCTCACGAGAGCTGCATTTAGATTATCAAAAATGCAGTACAAACAGTAATATTGTGAAGTATTACCATTTACATTTTTTCTATATTAATATATTATAAAATTTAATTTATTCCTTTGATGGCAAAACTGAATTGTCAGCAGACATTACTGCAGTCTTTGGTGTCACATGATCCTTCAGAAATCATTCTAATAGGCTGATTTGGTGCTCCAGAAACATTTTTGATTGTTATTATTAAAGTTGTGCTGTGTAATATTTTTGTGGAAACCATGGTACATTTTTTGATGAATAGAAAGTTCAAAAGAACAGCATTTATTTTAAATAAAATCTTTTCTAACATTATACATGTCTTTTCTTTCAGTTTTGATCAATTTAATTAATCCTTGCTGAATACATATATTAATTAAAAAAAATGTATTTGACTTACCCCAAACTTTTGAATGGGAGTGTACGGTACCAATCTGTTACGCTGCATGTCTACATAATGATTTTAGTCCTGATTTTGTGTGTTGCCTACATATCGCATGCATTGAGTTATGGACAAAAAAAAAGAATACAAGTCGCAGCAGATTTTTTTTTTAATAGTCTTAGATTTAAATGACACATCAATCTGATTTGAGTCATGTTTTATTCACTCACCAAAGACTGTTTTTACTTGCATTTTCCTGTGGATGAGTGGTCTGTGTGCTTATGTTTATCCTTCTTCATTCCAAAACTGTTCCTGTGTGCAATTCTGGCCAAAGTTATTCAAATTGGCTTTCAAATTTCATTCAATTATTAATTATTTTTAATATGGATGGTTTCAGTGAAAACATCCCCACCAAAGGATCTCTTCTGTAATATAGGGCTGAGAATTCAACTCTCTGTCTAAAAGAGCTTCAGCTCATTAGGTTGAGTTTAATGAACAATCAGAGAGCGGCTGTCAGCCTGATTATCTGTCCGCTGACATCAGTGCAAGAGCAGTCATGTAGGTGGAGTGTAGCTTCATTACTGAGGGGTGAATTCCCATCGGTGCTCAGCTGAGTGTGTGTGTGTGTGTGTGTGTGTGTGTGTGTGTGTGTGTGTGTGTGCAGCTTGGCACATACTGAATACAAAATATACTGATAATTATTGTCAGTAAGACTTATCTGTGAATTTCATTGAGGGGATGATGAATGATACTGATACAGTATTTTATTTTATCTTAATTTTTTTCAATTTTATTTTATCAGATAAATGTTGATCATTTAAAAATGCTATTAGGGATTCTGATATTAGCTTTCCTTTACAGACTCATCTGAGATTGCTGGACAAGCTACTTTCCGTGCTTTTCTCACATTTTTGCTTTGGCAGTTTCACCCTATTTCACACAGTGATTCCAATTTACAGTGCTTTTTTTTTTTTTTAGAATAAAAATAGTAATTTTACTGTGTTATCATAATCACAGTGTGTGTTATAAAATCATTCCTACCCCATGTGAGCATCCTTTTATTTCTTCTCTAACCATCCAGGCCAAATAGATGAAATCAGATTTCCTGCATGGCTTGCTTGTTTCCACCACAATCAGACTGCTTCTTTTCCGTGAACCTTTTAATGGTTTTATAGCCATTAAAAGATGATAATTAACAGTGTATCTGGAGGGAGAATGACAGATACAGTAGCCATATATGCATAAAAAGATTGGAAAACTGACATTCTCTATAAGCCAAGAACAAAGAAATGAGGACACGGAGAGCAATGACGAAGCAAAAGTCTTGTCCAAGGTTTTAGATCTAATAGGCCAAAGAAATTTCAGACTCTCCTTCAGCACCTGTCTGTAGAGAAATTGAGTGTGGAATCAGAATAAACTGTTCCAGAGGCACAGAAGCATCCAGTTTTTACTCTCTCTGAGGCCTATACATTTGCTGCAAAGAATCTGTATGCCTGCTTGGGGCTGTTGGTGTCTTCTTGTGAGAGTCTTCTTGTGTCTGTGCAGAATTACCCTGTGAAAAGAGCCCCTCCACTCATCTTCTCCGTTTAACCTATAGCTGTGGAGGAGGCAAAGAAAGAGACGTTAAGTGAGAAAGAGACATTGAGAGAGACCACTCTCACTATCAGATGTCTCCGCTTACATTTCTTGGGCTCAGATACAGGAGCTTTATATGTGGTGTCCAGTCTCCCTGGTGGAGAGTGAGCTCTTTGAAAAGACCATTGACTGCTGGGCGAAAGATAAGGTGAAGGCAGCACATGTGCTGCCAGATAAAATGAGTACGACACTGATATGTCTAAGCAGTGTTATCACTTTCATCTGAATGATGGTTTTTAACAATAGTTTTTAGAATGTTTGTGTTCTTGTTTTGTGTGTGTTTTGTTTTCTTTGCTTTGATTTGTCTTTTGTTTTATTTTGCTTTTGCTTTGCTTTGGCAAGAATGTTTGCTTTTGTTTTGTTTGGTTTGTTTTTTGCTTTTGTTTTGTTTCAGTTTTTTCTGGTTTTGTGTGTTTTGCTTTTTTTTTCGCTTTTGCTTGTTCTTTTTTTGGGCTTTTTTCTTGTTTTATCTTGTTCATTATGTTTTTTGTTTTTTTTGCTTTGCTTTGGCTTCAGCTTATAACATAGATTGTTATGTTGTGATCAGAGTACCTGTGTTCAGATATAAATATGTATATATGTATATATATATATGTATATATATATATACGTATATATATATATATATATATATTATATATATATATATGTATATGTATATGTATATATATACATATTTATATCTGAACACAGGTACTCTGATCACAACATAACAATCTATGTTATAAGCTGAAGCCAGCTTATAACTGTGCTTATATCTGTGCACACCATTAATTTCAAAGATTAATGGTGTGCACAGATAAATCATTTACTGTATATTAAACACTGCGATATTAAAAAAAAAAAAGGCAATTTTTCATAGTGACTAACTGAAATATATTTGGTGATTCTGTGATTCAAGAGCTGCTTGTTCTTCAGTAAAACAACAGTTGAGTTAAATATGATACTAGTTTGAATACATCTTGATTTTCAGTATTTTAGCATTTTAAGCCATATTTGTTTCTCTGCTTAAAATAAAAATGATCTTGAAGGCATAACCTGGCTATCTTATAATGTATACATAGACATCGTAAATATGAGATGTGTATTTGTTGTGTATTTTGTGTGGATAATTGTAGCATTAAGAATTTTGAGTTTTATTTATATCAGAATATAGTAGAGATCCATCATTCAGTTGCTGTATGCTAGAATTTGATTGTATTGTAAATGCTAAGCTCCAGTGTTTTCAGTCAGATATGTGTGTGTGTGAACTCCTCCTCCTGGCCAAGGTCCCATTTAACCACGTGTGTTTACTTGTGGGCGAGTTCAGCCGCGTGTGTGTGTATGTAGTCCGGTGCGAGTGCTTGCGGTCTATCAGCTGGTTTAACCCAAGTGTTGTGATTTTAGGGCCGTTGAATCCAGGTCTTTGACTCATGACTGTCTTGTGAGGACGCATTGTGTATTCTCCTGGTCTCCTCAGGACAAGCGGACAGGAACTGGATCTCTGGTTACATGAAGCATGGGCCAGTCTGCTGGACACATTATGATAAGCAGGATATGATGTCACACAGAGGAAGCTACTTAAATGAATTGTCTGTTTGAATATGTGTGAGAGGGCATTTATATCTGAAATGTGAACCAAAAGACTGACAGTAGTGACAACATGGAGTTTACATTTTGTTGACGTCCTTCGGACCCACCAGAGTGCATGTGTGCTTTGGACTTAAGTTGCTTCGCAGGCTCATTGTTCGTGTTTTTAGAGGGCCGTTTAAGCCCTGAACTATTGAGATCCACGCTGGCGTGTACCTGCTGGCCCTTTTTCAGAAAAGGTAGGAGAGGGGCTCAAAATGAACTGAAACTAACTAAAACTTCATTAAATGTGTCCTATATGCTTACCGGTTGTTTCATGCTGATTTCATTTCCTGTTTGCTGAGTTTGTGTATGTGACCCTAATTTTGTTTGTCATTGTACTTTTTGGTGTCATTTATAGATGTAAATTTATTTGAGTGATTGTAATGGCAAATATTTATTACATTACTGTTTATTCCAATTTTCTCTTTTGAGTTCTTAATTCTGATTGGTCAATAATGATCAATGCCCAGTGCAACCGACCACTCATCTGCTTCGTTCTTGGTTTATTTTATTATGATGACCATGTAGGCTTATCGTCACCTTTACGCTTAGCTGTTCATCATCTAACCAGAGATGTAGACACATCGTGGGAACGTTTCGGGCTGATTTAGCTGACATGAAACAGTCAGCCATTGTTGTGTTGACCTTGCAGCTCTGGAATGCTATAGTTTGCCATCATGGATTGTTGTACTTGAAGCTCTTCTGCCAGAATATCTGACACTATCATAGTCCCCAAGGCCACTTGTCTGGCATGCTTGCAGGAGACATCTGTCTGTCTGAAGTGTTGGTGTCTGGACCTTTTCCTTTATTTCCTCCCAGGAGTCCAACCTCCTGTTAGCGTCTGCAGCATCCTGCTGTAAATTTTGCTCTGACAGTTGAATATCAAGCTGATCGGACAGTCTTCTTTATTAGTGTTGATCCAAAGCCTTGGGATTGCTTTGCTGCCATTCATTGTGTTCAGGTGACACCTCTAAACTGACTTGACTGAGAGCTTTCATTGTCTTGTCAGTTTGTTTTGTGAATGTTTGTGCTCTGATAAGTGGGTTTTTCTTTTTATTCTGAACAAGAATATTCCATTATGCAGTGATCTGATTAGTATTATTATTATAAGCCCAAACAGACTGAAGGCATTGCAAAGCTGATAGTTCATCCATTTACAATAGCTTTCCCATAATCCTTCGGATTGTATTTGTAGCACAAACAATGCATATATTTTTTACAGGCTTAGTAATTGTTGATTGTACTTCTTTAAGGCCTCTGCAGTGATGATTTTATGTTCTCTTCAGAATATGACAGACAGTTAGCACCCACCAAAGCCATGGCAGCGGCTTACCTGGACCCCAACCTGACCCATGCCCTGAACCAGGGGGTCAAGCCTCGCTTCAGCGCAGGGATGGAGCGGACAGCTGGGACTCTGGAGCGCGTACTCAGAGTCTTCCACTACTTCGAAAGCAATAGTGAACCCTGCACCTGGGCCAGCAACATCCGACACGGCGACTCAACTGATGTCAGGGTGAGTCTGCAGATCAGCTGGGTCACACTCCTAATGTTCTCCAGGATATAGAATACTATATCGGATCATATCGATTGCAGAGAAGAGAAGAGAAATGCATTGTCATTGTTCTTATGTATTTCTGGCAAATATTGAGGCTGATATCAGATTTATTTATTTTTTACTTGCTGTGTTTACATGGCAGGTATCAATATTTTCTATTGTAATGTTTTAATATGCATGCAGAATTCTTTTAAGAGCTTTTTTATTATTATTATCTTTCAAAAACCTTAATTAATAACAAACTAACAATAGACTTATTACACAGTCATATTGCTACATAGATTTTTTTCATTCATTATTAAAAGCAAACAGACATCATATGAGCATTCGTTTTTGATAAAACATAATTATTGGCTAATATCTGAAGTTTTATAAATTGCTTCATTATTGTTAATAGGACAATTTTAAGTGACTTTTAAAGTTCTAAATTGTGTATTTGTGTAGGGCCGTATGAAATAATTTTTTTTTTCCCCCCAAATTCCGTTTTATTTTTTTCCAAATTCTGTTTTTTATTTTTTATTTTTTCTGGATTCCATTGTTTTCAGTATTACACAGTCATATTGCTACATAGATTTTTTTCATTCATTATTAAAAGCAAACAGACATCATATGAGCATTCGTTTTTGATAAAACATAATTATTGGCTAATATCTGAAGTTTTATAAATTGCTTCATTATTGTTAATAGGACAATTTTAAGTGACTTTTAAAGTTCTAAATTGTGTATTTGTGTAGGGCCGTATGAAATAATTTTTTTTTTCCCCCCAAATTCCGTTTTATTTTTTTCCAAATTCTGTTTTTTCTTTTTTCTTTTTTCTGGATTCCATTGTTTTCAGTTAAATTTTTCTAGACACTCTTTTAATGTTAAATTCAATTTTATTAATCATAAAGCATGTCTGATTTATTGAAATCATGAAACTTATACAATTTAACAGCAATTTATTAAAAGTTTAACAAAAATTTAATTAAGGCCCTATAAAATGTTTTTTTTCTCTCTCTCTCTTAAATTCAGTTCTATTTTCACCAAATTCTGTGTTTTCCATAAATGTTCTGGATTCCATTTCAATGGTTTCATTAAACTATAACAGGGGTAGGCAAGTTCGGTCCTAGAGAGCCGCAGTCCTGCAGAGTTCAGCTCCAACCCTAATCAAACACACCTGAACAAGCTAATCAATGTCTTCAGGATTACTAAGGCTATAGGCAGGTGAGGTTTTTTTTTCAGGGTTGGAGCTGAACTCTGAAGGACTGTGGCTCTCTAGGACCGAACTTGCCTACCCCTGAACTGTAACAACCAAAAGCATCTCTAATTCATGGATTTTATAAAAAAATGTATTTATTATTATTATTTTATTGAATAATTGTTTCAGAAATACTGTGTTATGTATTTACATTTTCTGCTAAATAAATTCTGGTAAATATTTTTTCTGGTAAATATTCCTTAAAAATAATAATTTTATAATAATTTTATTTAGTAGTAATACTATCATTACATTAGGTAATATATTTATGTCACAGTTTCTTCAAGTTAAACCAGACTTTTATTTTGACGGGTTGCTGTGAAGTAGGGATGGGCGATATCTCTTATGTTATTTTCGATCCGATACCTATATTTTCAAGCCCAGTATCGTCGATATCGATACCGATACCTATAAACTAAATTGATCTTTTAAATTATTAAAAGAATATAATCAGTAATTATACTCACTTAATATTAGATTTTAAAGCCACGGTTTTTTTAAACATTTCATAGGCCTTTTTTGTTTAAACTGTCAGAAATAAAATATCCTATTTTAGCCTTTTACTGGGGCAGTAACCTCACAGGTATAACTATACCCCTAAAAGGGAGCACCTTTGAGGGTACCTCATGAAAAATAAACATGGTGTTACATAAGTAGCCTACTAAAATGTATTATTATTATTATTACCATGGTAAACTGTGGTTACTGTAATAAAACCATGGTTAATTTTTGCATAATTAACCTTTAGCATATTTTTTTCTGACGGATTTATTAACAGCAATTACAGAACAGAACACAATCCATTTGAACTTTTAACAACCAGTTTAAATAAACTTGCTTGCACAAACTAGCCACAAACTTGTACACAAAAGTTTGGGGTCAGTAAGATTTTGTAATTTTTTAAGTCTCATGCTCACCAAGGCTGCACTTATTTGAACAAAACAAGTGCAATATTGTGAAATATAACAATTAAAAATAATTATTTTCTATTTGAATATATTTTAAAATCTAATTTAAAATGCATCTGTGATTGATTGGTTCTGTCTTTCAGCATTTGCGTGTGTTCCGGTGAGCAGGAGAAATGGTTCTATCCCACACAATTATTCACTAATATAGTTTATATTATACACTATTTATACACTATTTATACACTATTTTTCCAGTTAGAAGCTTATTTTATGCACTGAATTTCTTGATAAATAAATAAAATTAATGGTTAAAAAAATGCACTTTAGAATCGATATTTTTATGTGAGGATCGATCCTTTCGATACAACATCAGTATCGAAAGTATCGATACTTAACAATCGATCCGCCCATCCCTACTGTGAAGACCTTTAAGTTTCTGTTTGTATATGACATGATGACAGGACAATAGTTTTCTCAAAAGAAACTGTAAAATGCTCATGAAGTGACTCTCAGAGCAGTTATAGACATTGTTTATGTGTTCATGTATTCATATTGGCTGGAAACATCACGAGCGTCATGTATGTGTGTGGTAAAGAAACCGCGCGTCTGCGCCATTCATACACACCAGGTTTACATGGTATATAGAACATGTAGGATTCATATTGACATACTATTTTTGTGGCTTAATATTCACAGACACTAGTCCATCTCGCTTTTTGATTTAAGTGTACTGACCTACTTTTGATTTATCCATCCAAAATTTGACAAATTCCGTGACATTCCACCTTTTACTGTAAATTCCATTTTTATGACTCCACTTTAGTACAACATTAGTCTGAGAGTTACACCACAAACATTCCTGTGCAGGACTAAAGAGGATATTTCCTCTGAGCTCCAGGCTTTTCAGCATTATTTAGAATGCAGCTTGCAGTGGCCTAGAACACTCATGGTAAAACCCCTTCAGACAATGGCATGCTATGCTACTCTAAATTATTTAATGAGGTTGGTTTTTGAAGCCAAGTAGCCGTACGACTTCAAAGCGCATTGTCCCGCTTTCATCCTTCACGTGGCTGCCATTGTCCTAGTTCTCTGCTGTTTTATGCAGGTTTACATCTGATGCTTATCAGTCTTATCAGGTCTGAAACTCATGCAAACCTGGCCCAAACTAAACAGACCACTGCCACAGAAACGTCACATTAACTCACAGTACTTCAATAAATGAAACAGATTGAATTGACGTCTAAGATGAAATTAATGCAGGTGGTTTTAGTGTGATAAAGCCCAATGATTAAGCCAGGTTTTCTCTCTTTTTTTTTTTTTTTTTTTTTAAATGTTATTTATTTTTTAGACATGTTATATTAGTAGTCTATGATGTCTGTAAGGAGATAGAAAAGATAACGGCCATGAAGTATTATTCATCACACACTAATGTGGCTTATCAGTTCTTGCCTGATGGCTCATGCATTTTACAATTTGCATAATAAATTAAATAACAGTTTTTCCATCCTGTTAGACATCGTATATTATGCCTCAGCAGACTCTTGCTCTCTCTTGGCCTCATCCATCTCCTCTCTCACCATCGCTGTCTTACATTGATTTGAACCACAGAACTTACTGACCCATAACATGACACATTAATCAAAGAAAGATTAAACTGAAACTCTTCTGGCTTTGAGCCTATTTTCTTCAGAATATTCTCTGACATTTACTCATTTAGATGTGTCCTGCTTTATATATTTTATGAACTTTATAGAGTGCTATGCTGTCATTAAATGCTTGTGTATGTGTTTTCAGGGCATTATACAGAAGATCGTGGACATCCATAAGGTGAGGTGTGTGTTGTGCTTTGGTCTGCGCCTGAGCCACCTGAGAACAGGTGAAGTTCATTGGCTCCACCCCGACATGGGCGTGTCTCACGCGAGGGAGAGGTACGAGCACAGCCATCCCCAGGACGACTGGAGGTGAGTCACTGTTTTAGTGCTCATATCATAAGCATAAAACCATTGTTATGGTTAATAGTTAATTTATTTATTAACTGTTTATTTATCAGTTAATAAATAAATAGCACAAGGTTGGTTTCTGTTTTTCAGCCAATAGCAAACAAGGAGATTGTTTGGAAAACCTATACTTTCATAATTTTTTTTTTTTAAACATTTGAAGGAAATCACTTATGTTCAACAAGGCTGCATTTATTAAAACCATACTATTGTGAAATAGTATTATAATATATTTAAAATTATTACATTTTTTATTTTTTAAATAATTTCATATATTTAAAATGTAATTTATTCCTGTCCAAAGCTGAATTTTCAGCATCCATTACTCTAGTTTTCAATGTTGCATGATCCTTTAGAAATTAATCTAATATGCTGATTTAGTGCTTTAATTAACTGTCACCGTCCTACCTGTGGGACGCTTGGCACTCTTTTTTTGTTGTTGTCCTTTTTCTAGATTCATCCTGTGAAAACCATTTTGAAATCAGACATTGCGTTACCATAGAAATGGTACTTTAAAATCTTTTGGCGGTCACTTGAGCAGTGTCAAGTGTCATATTAGAAAATGCATTACGGTCTTTTAGAATCAAACCTTTTATAATCTTGACAAACAACATATCATTGGAAAGGTCTGAGTCTCAGGATTCCATATTTGGTGATTTTGGTTTTGAGATAGACGTAATATTGACAGAGAAATCTAGACATTTGTGACAGAAAAATGCATTAAAAAAAATGTAATGGAGTTTGGATGGCACCCGGTGGCTGTTTGCGGTATGACGCCCTAAATAAAATGTCACAGGAACCTGTTTTTTTCATATCAACTTCAAATTTGGAACATAACTTATTTAGACATAAGGCTTTAATTTTATACCAATTTTAGAGTAAAACCTGTTATGTAAACTAATTATAATAAATAAAATAAAATTAATATAGTGCATTTTATTTACAGTACATTTAAACTTCTATAACTTTTTGATACTTTAATATTTTGAAAAACAAAATCCACATTTGCAATAATCTGCTGATTTTCTTCTTTAAAAAGAGACCAACCGTAGGTCTGTATTCCAAAGTGTTAATAAATTACAATAATTTAAGTTTGGATAGTGCACTTTCATGCCTATTTTAAAAAATGGGGGGTGACAGTTAAGGGGTTAAGAAACATTGCTTATTACTATCAATGTTGAAAACAGTTGGGCTGCTTAATATTTTTGTGGAAACTGTAATACATTTGTCCTTTATGCATTACTGTGGTGCATTCTTTGATGAATAGATAGTTTAGAAATAGAAATCTATTGTAACATTATAAATCTCTTCACTGTCACTTTTGATGAATTTAATGCATCCTTGCTGAATAAATGTATTAATTTCTTTCAAAAAGATCTGACTCCAAACTTTTGCAAGGTAGTGTATTTGAAAATAATGAATTCAATATGATTTCATAAATAGTAATAGTACAATTTCAAAAATAGTAATAGTAAAATAGTAGTAAAAGTTGTGTACATTTTTTAATTTCAGGAGTCTTGGAATTGTAAATGCTGTATGTCAACCTTACATTTTATATATCAGTATCGACATTTGCCTTTGAAAAATGTGTAGTTAAATGTCTAGTTTACTTTGAATGTGTTCTCATCATATATGCATTTAAAAATAAAAGAAATCAGAACTGTTAGCTTTCTGTAGAGGAAAGCAACTATGCTTTAGATTCTGACATGTCTGTGTGGCCATACAGGGACTTAGTAAAGATTGCCACCACTTATTTCTGTCATCGTTCCCCCTCCTGCTTGATGTTTCTGTCTGCAATACAATCAAAACACCTCTCACATCTCTGAAATAGCACATCTTTGACATCTGAGACCACTGTGGTGCTGTGGTACATTTTTATCTGTTATATAATTTTTTTGTCTGGTGGTTCCTATTGTCACTAGTGGTCTATTGAAAGAAATTATGGTAGTTCAAGCCGAAGACCATTCAGAAAAGTGTTCAATTATGCAAACTTTCCTTTGTTTAATTGCATAAAACAGGAGTCCTGTTCCAAAGTCTTTACATACAGTACGTGCCATGTTATATCTGGGTCATGCCTGTTTTATGAGGGTGACTCTGCACATCGTTCTGTTGTAAAGCATTATGAGAGTGGATGTGCTGTTCATCTTTAGAGGATAAAAGGATGATATAATGGCTTATGTATAATTCATACAGTGGGGGTGAATAATTCTGCATCACAATGAGGTTGACCCAGTGGGCGGAGCTTTAGAATGAATGTGGCTCATCGTAGTGAGTTTTATCTTAATGAAGCTAAATAAAGCAGTGCGAACTTAATTGCTCTATTGTTTATATTCCATTCACGCAGCCGGGGGGCTTGTTTCACCCATCTTCTTTCTTCAACTGTTCATTCTGAATGAATGGGCTTTTTATGCGTTTACGGGGAAGTCCGCAGTTCAAAGGATGAGCTTGAGTCTGTTTGCCCTCCAGCATGTCTTCATAATGAAAAACAGAACCCTCGTAATACATGCAGCATTTGCTTTAAAGCAAGACATTTTACCCTCTGCAAATGCAGATCAGCAGGTTAAATTCCTCCTCTTCAGTTTCTGCAGAAATGGAAAAGACACACATAGGATTTAACTGCAGGCGACCTCTTGTTTTTTATTGTCCATGATCATGTTTCCCACATGGGATAATGTTATTATTCAGCACAGCCTAAAGTACAGTGGGATAAACTGATTTAAACCAGAAATCTGAACTGGTTCTATTTTGTAAATTTTACTATGTATTGGTGGGAATTTGTGCTAGTATATGTAGAGCAATGCTTGTTCATCAGTTTTACTGGTGATATTTTTATGGGCCTGATCATGGAGGGACAGTATTTCTACAATTGTATGGATATTGAAGCTGAGGCAAATTTTTGCACTACTCAGATTTTTGTCAAGTCAAATGCTATAGAGTGAGCTAAGAACTGAAAAGAATAGTTGACCCACAAATGAAAACTTGCTTAAAATCCTCACCCGTAGGTCATCGAAGATATAGATGAGTTTGTCAGATTTGGAGAAATTTAGCATTACATCACTTGCTCACCAATGGATCCTCTGTAGTGAATGGGTGCCGTCAGAATGAGAGTTCAAACTGCTGATAAAAACAATACAGTAATCCACAAGACCATTCTAGTCAATCAAACAACATTTTGTGAAACAAGAAACTACGTGTTTGTAAGAAACAAATTCATCAATTCGTTTTAATTTTAAATAATCGCTGCTGGTGAAAAACTACCTACTTTCACTTTTTCTAGTGAAAAAGTCCACACTTTGTTGTTTTCTCACATCAAAATCTACAGACAATTTGTTTTGAACTGCTTTGTCAACAGTTTTTGATCTGTGCATATTTTTCTCCTGATTCAGACAAGACTGCTTTTCGAGAAAGCAATATTACAGATAGAAGACCCGTATTTTAGTTGGAAACAACAGTTTGAAGTTAAAAAAGGTTTCCACAATGCATTTTAAAACTATCTGAAACTCAGTTTGTCTTCATGTTTTGTGCATTATGTTTGAGGCAGATGGCAGCAAGTTCCAGGTACATCATCCCTAGCCAATTTAGAGAACATTGTTTTGAACGTGTGAGGCAGGTGCCGCAGCATTCTGGCTTGTGCTCAGGTAGAGGGATGTGTAAAACTAATTTAGCGTAATTGAGAGCAGACAGTGAACCAGCTGTGAGAGAATGGGGTGTGATTTTTACCTCCCAGACAGACAGCTGCTGAGAGCAGCCACTAATACTGCCATAATTGTGTTGTCTGGCAGACTTTAAAAGATCTTGTCTCACCGGCATCTCTAATCAGTCACATATGAAAGGGAAGATGAGTAAACAGTGCCATAATCTGAACCATCAGTGTTGTTAAAGATTCAAAACACAAAGCGAAGGTGTTCAACCCGAGGGCTTCATTTTCTAAAGCGTCTGTTGTGATTGGTCAGGCTGTTGTATGATCACCTGTGATTGATATTCCTGAGTGATTATTTTGTAGGTAGAGCTGACAGTATGTGGAGTGTGTCTTTTATTAGATCATTTCTTTTCCTCTCTCTTCTCTCTGCAGATATGAGCTACGGATTCGATACTTGCCTAAAGGATTTTTAAACCAGTTTACTGAGGACCAGCCAACACTCAGCTACTTTTATCATCAGGTGATGGATAGTTTAATCTGGCAGCCTGTGTACTGCTGCCAAACCTTTTGCTATTGTCTCCCTGTATAGACACTTCCTCCCCTTTATCTACACTCTGCACGGGTGAGTCGCACGAAACCTGTCAAGAACACGCCTGGGGCGTATTTCACCCCAAAATCAAAAGAAGCTATAAATTATACTTAGTTTTACTGTACCTTGTTATTATATTTGGACAATGAAACCTAGTAGCACCAACACAATGTTTTGCAGTTTGATATTAAGTCCATGACAATTAAGCATGTTCACTTTTTAGTTCCCAGTGCAAATTGTAAAGTCTTGGTGGTCTTTGTTGTATTGCTTTAATTTTTGCAGATCCTAATGGCAAAAAGATTTTCAGCAAAAATTAGCATCATAATAATGTCAAAATGCAAAAAAATAAAATAAAATAATGGTCCTACCATAGATTTCTTTTTCTTTATGCAATATTGTGTACATTTTTTATTTTATATTGTGTATTTCATGTATTTTTGTGTTGTTATTATTATTATTTTGGGGTGAAATATGACCCTTTTTGTGAGATTCACCCACACAGTGCATTAACAAAAGAAACGGAAAGGTGGTTCACTGTTCAAGGCTCAGGCTTTGTAACTGGTTTGATCCCTGCCAGGTAACAAAGATCAAACCATAAGCTCACAATCATCGTTGTAAAACACTTAACCGACAGGTGGCTGTCCCTGTGATAAGTTCATTTCTCTGTTCTATGTCGTCGTCACATGAAAGATAAGGAAACCAATTCCAACCGGTCCTTTTGTGGCAATCCATACAAAAGACAACAATAATGAATACAAATAACAAGACAATTTGATTTAAATGGATTGTGAGGAAAGTACATTGGACTATATCAAACTTCATTATTTTTTTTCATGACTAGCAAATTAGTTCTGTATTATTGTATTGTGAATGTTTTATTAATTCGATATGCAGTATCGGTCTGTTCCAGAGGAGGAGTGAAATTATAAATTCTGTCATTATCTACTCTGTATGGTCAGTATTGTGTTGTGCCTTTCTCCTTGCCTAGCCTAATATACATCTCTTCTGTGCCCAGGTGAAAAGCGATTATATGATGGAGATTGCCGATCAAATTGATCAAGACATAGCACTTAATCTAGGCTGCCTTGAAATCAGGTATGTGTGATACACAGTATACACTGTTCAAAGGTTTGGGGTCAGTAATTCATCAAAGAATCTTGAAAAAACATATTGCTGTTTCTACAAAATTATTAAGTAGCACAACTGTTTTCAACATTGATAATAAAAAATAAATGTTTCATGAGCATCATATCAGCATAATAGAATGATTTCTGAAGGATCAAGTGACACTAAAGACTAGACAAGCCATCACACAAATACAATTATTTAAAATTTTAACAAGTTTTCAGAATGTTTCAGTATTTTTGATCAAATAAATAGTGTTGGTGAGAGATTTCTTTCAAAAAGATTAGAAAATCTTTCCCAGCCCAAACTTTTCAACGGTAGCATAAATGATTAAATGTAAGTGTTTTCCCATGACTTTTAACAAATAAAGACTGAATTCAGACAAATCACTTTCCTCTTCTCCTTTACAGGCGGTTTTTCAGGGACATGCGTGGAAACGCCCTGGATAAAAAATCAAATTATGAATTATTAGAGTAAGTAATGCTGTGTTTGGATCATTGGTGTCCAGTTCTCAAATTGTGTCCATATTTACATGAATTATAAAATATTTCTTCAGACCTTTTTATTTAACTTGAGGGATTGTAGTGCAATTAGTTTTGGTGTTATAAAAAAAAATAGTTGTAAGAAAGTTAAAAATAACCTTTACATTGTTTTGTGAGAAAGTTGAAATTTGTGAAATGTAAAGTCAAAATTAAGAGCAATCAGGAGATATAAGGTTGCAGTTGTGAGAAATACAAGTTCCATTGACTTCCATTGGGAAACCTGGCTTAACACATAAAAAAAAAAGTTCTCTCAATAACTATCATGACAGAAGGATTCGCATTGTGCCTGGACATTATGTTAGAAATTAAATTCTAATTGGTTCCTATTCATGCATATTACTGCAGTGTTTGCTTACGATGTAATGCTGTTAGTGTACTTCAAACCAAGCTCATACTAGACTGAAAGGAGTACTGTAGTTCTTTGAACCATTAGGGGATTTCTCTCCCTCTCTTTTTCTTTCAAATTGTGTGTATATGGGTCAGAATAACTAGTCCGTGTTGCATGGCCCTCTATTTTTAGTAGAGTATAATTGATCTTTGCGTATCTCCTGCAATGGTGCAGGGTCTCCATTACTGTAGTGTTGCTTTACACTGGAAGAGACAATAATCTGTAATAATGGCTCTGCAACAAACAAGTTGCTGTCTCGTTTCTTGCGCTTTTACCCCAAAATCTTATGTTTTGTTTTCTTTTAAAGACTGAAGTCAGTTTCTTGCTGTTTTTTCTCCCTGCAGGAAGGACGTTGGTCTGCGGAGATTCTTTCCAAAGAGTTTATTAGACTCAGTGAAGGTAATAAGACATTTCTGATGCTCCTGCGATGACTTCCTCAAAACGGTGGTTGTCTTGATTTATTGGATGTGAGAAAATGCTATTGTTCAGGCAAAACCAATGTTATTACCTGCCTGGCTTCCTCTGTGGTCTCACACCCCTGAGATGTTTTGGCCCAGTTCTGTTTTCCTTCTCTTTCTGAAGAAGCCACTGAAGGGAACCGTTCTAGTGAAATGCAGTTTGCCAGAGAGCCTGTTTCCTTTTCCACCTGACCTAACTAGTCCCTTTTAGTCTTTCAGTATGCTGTGGCATAATGTCTTCTGTTATTTTAGCTATTTGTAAGGCATTATTCTCTGTAAAATTTGGTATGCGTGAATATTTCTATACAGACAAATTGCCATGATTTTTACACCTTTAAAAGAAAATAATAAAAATAAATGTATGTAGATATTTATTTTTATATTAAAAAGCAAAAACAGAAAATATTTTAACATCCAAATATTATGCAGTTCACCTTTGCAATTGTGCAGTGATAAACTGCTAATTTTTTTCTGCTCGTTGCATCATTAATTGTTCTAGTACATTCTAATTCTGTGCGCATTTGGGAATTGCAATTGAGAATGGAAATGGCGTTTGTGTATTTGCGTTCCCGAGGGATTTTCCTGTTCTTTATTAAAGGAGATTTCCTGCATATTTTGTGGCTTTCACTCTCTTCTGCTCTTCCTTTCTATATTTTACATTCTACCCCCAAAGCAGCCCAAAATCACCTCCTTTTCATTGGTTGCCATGGAAACCCAAGCCCATGTCAAGAGGGAAGAGAGAATTACCGACCAGTTTTGTGGGTTTTTAATTTGAGAATCTTTAGATTTACAAATATTCTAGATCTCTCAAGGAGAGGACCCTGATTCTAATTGGCTAATTATCATCTCTGAATAATGAATACTTATTGATAATGTTTACATAATTTGACAGGGCTTGTTTACACCAATAAAGATTGGTTTGAAAGCTATTAGAAACCTGTTTGTCATTTTATACTTAGATTAAGACCCCTTATTGAGAAAAAATCACATAATTTTTCTGCAAAGACAGTTTTATTCAAACCTTTAGTGATTTTTCTTTGCTACAGTCTTATTCTTGTGCCATCAAAAGGATTCACGGGCCTCAATTCCTTCTCTCTGAAGAAATATTTATTTACAGAATTAATTTATAAATGCTTTTTCCTTTAAAAAGGTTCAAATGTCCTTGTTTGTTGCATTAGGGTTCTTGTTGTCTACGCCTAAAGGTAAAGTGTGTAATTTTTGCACCATGCAAGACCAAACAGGTAGTTCCTCCTCAGACGTGTGCCATTGATTGGGCAGTATTGAGGAAACAAAGCAGCATTTTACAGTGTTTACTATCTTTCTAAAGTCATCTTATGAATGGCATGTAGTTGTCACTAATCTCGGCTAGAAGAAAGTGTTTTATCTAAAAAAATTCACACACTTCACCTTTAAGGGTTTATGACTAATATTATAATTTAATTACAAGTCACTGTATTTTGTCTTTGCAGGCTAAATCCCTGCGGAAACTGATCCAGCAGACTTTTAAACAGTTCGCCAATCTGAACGACGAGCAGTGTATCCTCAAGTTCTTCGAGATCCTTTCACCTATATACAGATTTGATAAGGAGTGTTTTAAATGTGCTCTCGGGGTGAGTTGAGTTTAGATGTTAATTAATTCAATTCATTAAAATAAAGCCACAAGTCATTTACATGTAATAACGCTCCTGATTTATTATTTCTTGTCTTTATGATGATAGACTACTTTAATGGTCTGCAGTGCCCTCTGTTGGCTGAAAGATGAATAACTATAGTTTTGCCATTTTTTTCTTTCAAACGAGAACTCATAAGTAATCATTCATAATTGTGAGAGGACATCAATTTGCATTGTATCTATCAGTTTGTGTGTGTTTCATAAAGTGTTTGAGTTGAATGTGTCTGCTGGTGTGTGTGTGATAGTCAAGCTGGGTGATATCAGTGGAGTTGGCCATCGGACCCGAGGAGGGCATCAGTTATTTGACGGACAAAGGATCAAATGTAAGTACTGTGCGGTTCGATGGGTGAGGGCCTGGACTGATAGACAGTTGGACAGTGAATCTAATGTCTGTATCTGTTTCTTTGTAGCCAACACACCTCGCTAACTTCACACAAGTACAGAGTATTCAGTTCGAGGAGCGAGATCGGAAGGGAACGCTGCAGTTAGATGTAGCTGGAGCACCTGAGGTAACTTCCACACACTGTTTTCAGTGTATCATTTTGTCTTATATGTGGTTTTTATATGTTCTTGTTCATTTTCCAGCCTCTGACGGTAAAGACTACAACACTGAACACCGCAGAGAACATGGCTGATCTCATTGATGGTTACTGTAGACTTGTTAATAGAACTTCTTCATCGTTTATTGTCCGTGTACAGAAAGGTGAGAACACAGAAGCGCTCAGACGAATCATATTAAATTTGACAACAGCCTAATCTTAATAATGTTAATAAAATTTCAGTTTTATTGTTTGGTAGTTTTTTTTTTTTTAATCAAATTTGTATTTGTCAATGTTTGTCAACAGAAGGAGAGAGAGCTCTTCCATCTATCCCAAAGGCTCCAAAGTAAGTTGCAAAACTCAGACCCTCAGGTACTATACCACTTTTTTCCCCAATAGTTTTTCATTAGATAGATTCAGTTCGTCTTTTTCGCCCTGTTCTTGCTCCTTTGGCCTCTTTGGCTCAGACATGTGGAATCTCTCAGTGTACCTTCAACTAATGTGACCCCGCAGCCCAGCTCCCATTAACGTGGCTGTGGTAGTGCCCATCTGTTATTTCACAACCCCCCTTCACACGCTAATGGAACAGACCCGCTCAGTGGCTTCAACACAGATCAGTGTGGAAAAGGTCATGCTGTGATTAAGTTTGATTGAAAATGTACACGATTCATCTTCTTCAACCTCTGTCACACAGATCAGCAAACCATGAGAAACGGTTGCAAGGAGTCCGGGCCAAAGCCATCTCCGTTTCAGGTAAGACTCATCCAAGAGGGCTGAGATGTGACCTCACATTTTTTTTTATAATGAACTTAATTGATAACTAATTCCAACCAGGTTGTGTAACCCTCTGATGTTTTCAATTCTTAATTCAGAGCAGTTCTAGCCAAAATGAATGTCTCTTGTCTTGTTTCTAAAATGCTGGTCAACATTGTAATTCTAAAATACTCTCAAACCCTGCTGTAGTTTACTGGGGCATGTTTTGCTTGCATTATGGGGACTGAATGTCCCCACAAGGATGGTTAAACCTGAAGTCACCTGAATTAAGAGGGTCAACGGTCCCTACAAGGAAAATGGCTTAATGAAAGTACTAAAAAATGTATTAAAATGCAAAAAGGTTTTTTGAGGTTTAGGGTATAAAAAATAGCATTAGCTCAATGTAGTAACAGTGCAAGTCACTGGAAAGTCCCCACCTTGATGGTGCATGTGATTTTAGTATAACCTACGGAATAAGAATGCATTTTTTTTTTAATCTATCTGTTGATAATAATGGTTTGGGGCTTTGTTTTATTGCTTTGTGTAACAGCCATGAAATACTCTTTTGTTCTGTTGCCTCTCCTCAGTAATGTCTTTTGATGAAGACATTAATCTAATGCTTTCTCTTTCTTTCTTTCTGTCTCTCTTTTAAATCTTTTGCATGCTGATTGGATCCACAGATGATATTGGTGGGGATGGTAAAGTCCAGTTTTAATATGTCTTATTGCTGAGTTGAGCGGGGCGAGATATTTAATATTTACAATATACTGTACGATCTCGAATAATCTTGTGATTTTCAGCAGAGATTTTTTTGGTGATAAAATGCAACAATGTGAATATCCCAATGATTCTAATGCATTTCTAATTCTAATGCAAGTTTCCTATAGGTACTAATTTTAGTTTTAGATTCCCTCTTTATCTTGTGACTTGATAATATAACTTTAATGATAAAATAACTTAAAATGATAAAAGATGTACACTATATCAATTTAAATTTCAGATTGCTTTAAAGTTTTTTGCCTGAATCAGTTCAAAACTGAGTTAACTGTTCATTTGCACCATCACTCAAAAATGTTCACAAAAGTCTCCACATGGCATTTTTTTTCTTATTATAAAATGTTGTAATAAAAATACATTTAAAGGTCGATATTGCAGTACATTATTTTTATGAAAATAATTGAAAAGTCTTACTGATATTTTCAAATTGAAAAGCAAGTTGGAAAACATGCCTTGATTTACTGTATTTGACTTATTTCTACATTTTTGCCAGTTTTGCCAAAATAATTTTTATAGCATTAGATATTTTGAATATTGTCAAAAATGTTATTTTAATACATTTAAACTATTTTTATACTTACATATTACTACATATGTTGTGATTATGATGTTATTTTTACAATTTTAAAGCAACATGTATATTGAATATCATCAAACATCTGAATATTTTAATAATTGTATTATTACATATATATATATATATATATATATATATATATACACTGTACACACAAACAAACACACACACACATATATATGTATATGTAGTATATATATATTAGTGCTGTCAATCGATTAAAAAAAAACGAATCAATCGCACATTTTTCTGAAATTAATCGTGATTAATCCCACCTAACATTAAAGTTTTTAAAGGCCTACAAA